TACGATGAGCATTTGATATTGGGTGATTTTACTATTAGCGTAATTCACAGGTCTTTCAATAATCTATTGGTGGGTATGATTTGGTAGTGAAAAATCAATCTGAAGATTGCATTGAATTGAAAACGCTTCAAAACTTGGTTTGTTTATTTAATGATGTGGACGACCTTGGAGTGTGATTTTGCTGTCTTTTTCTAAGCTTCCTACAGAGTTGTTTTCACTGACGTGGTTATTTTGTATTGTAAAGTGGTGGACATTTGAAACACTATCTACCCTCACATTCATTTAATGTGTTGCAGTTAGTATTTTGAAGATGATTCATTCTTTTCTGGCTACAGAAAACCAAATATTTTACTGGTTATTGAAAAAAACTGACTTATGTTTGTCTAAAGAGTGACTTTCTATGAGATAAAATGGGCCTGAAAATTGTATGTGGCTTTTTGCTTGATAGCAGTGAAACATTTTTGTTATATATGAAGATGTATTGATGATAAACTTGTTAGAAGTGCCAGTGTAAAATTCCACGTCAAAAAGTTGAATTTTCATTTTACATTTTTAAAAAGGAAACTGTCTCAAATTCAATGTCCAGCGCTATATCTGTCAACCAACAGAACGATAGAAAAGGATATACCTTACTAGTTGTTATATAGATGGTGAAATTAGGTAATAATTCAATTTGGAAGACAGAGGAAGTGAAAGTAGGTATAAATGAAGCCAAGTCGAAATAAGAGGGAAGTCGTGAACGGCAACAATATCTTGAAACAAATACCTATTAGTTGAAACCGAAACAGTAAACGAATTCAGAACAGATGATAATTGAATGAGAGAATGGCTGCCTGCGATTTTCTGTATCTAGATTTGAATGCTTACAAAATCAACAAAACACTTGATTCATTCATCAGTATTCTACGTCATTCAGTATATTTAGCAAGCCTATTTCTGGTGTCGCTACAGAGATATTCACAACTTTGTCAATCCTCCCAGGTGTTGAAATGTAACAATAGTCAGGTATGCAAACCGAACAACCGAAAGCGCAACATTCTTGGATTCTTGCAGCCATTCTGCAGCGTTGCCAGAAGCACAGAAATGTATTTAGGTTTGAGGAATTTATTTGTGACGTAAAGAAGTATCGATTTTCTACGGCCCACTTTGATCTTTTTCATTGATATCAATGTCGAGTGATTAGGAAATATATTGTTATTGACTGAAAAAAGTTGACCTGCGTTTTACGTTCGTACAAACGGACAGAGCTGCGAATTGATTGATTGAAACTAAATGTGCATTAGTTTTAAAATTAACTTGATTGTTTTGCAAATAAAAGCATGAACATAAACGAAGGTTATTCATAAATAAAAGGTATATTTGCATGAGAATTGCAGTAAAAGAGAGTACTGTAATGGAAATACATAACTTCCCGGGGGGTAAAAGTGAAAAAAAGTAGAAAATATTTTTGTGTGTGCTTTGAATTTTTTTTCAGAAAATCACTTCGAGTGGATTTTTTATATCAAGGAAATGTTCGATAGTGTGGTTATAAAACAGTACTATAATAATACGAGTACTATAATAATATACGAGGTTATCTCTGGTAGAAAACGATAAACACTAACACTAAAGATACTATTCAATTTTATGATGAATAAAATCATAGATAAAACTTCAATATCATATAACGAGATTTCTGTAAGAACTTACCTTTTTTGAATAACAACATACCACGTGTGAATGGACATAATAATAATAATAAATAATGATGAATGGGCTTTATTCATTGACATAGGTACATTGTTTATAAAGAAGAAGTAGTTAGAAAAATCAATGAAAGGGCGACCATCAGCCAAGGCTGTTTTACAACTTAACTTAGGGGATAGCATGTATTTTATAGAAATATAAAAATAATTACCTAGTATACATAGGTAAGTGAGTAGTTCATGAATCTTTGTAAAATTAAGAAAAAAACGAAGGTTATAAATTTGAAAGTAAATATTGAAAATCTATTTAACTTAAATAAGGTAAAATATATAACAAAACAACACACAAAAGTGAGACAACGGAAACACCACATGAGCAAGGCATAACATGAATATATTATCTATCTAGAAGACTTCAGATATGTTTTCAATTTTTTCTTGAAACTATATATGGAGTAGTGTCTAAATTCACTGGGCAGAGCATTATATTCTTCGATAGAGTTATAATTAAAACTACGAGAAAAGCAGGCTGTCGAGTGTTTTGGGATAACAAAAGTGTGACGGTTTCGTGTTCTCCAATTATTCTGAGATTTGATTTAATCCAAGTCACTGGCGATTGTACATTGACTCCTCAAAAACTAGTTTGAAAGCAGTGTTGCTGCATAACGGAAACGAAATTATAAGTATTTATTGTACATCAGGTAATTACTTCTGTAAGTGTAGTTGATTTTTGTATTTTTCATGAAAATATATATTTTGACGTCAATGTGTCATTTTTTTCACTAATACATTATTGGTTGGTGACCTTAGTAGATTCAAAATTTGATATAAGTTTTCATGTGACAAAAAACAGTTGGAATTTTGTTGAGCAGTGTTATTTTATCTATTATTCAATTCGAGGTCAATTATTTGAGTATTTATTTAGGAATTTAGGCCAGGACGAGTCAGAAATTTATATTGGATTCATTGGAAAAAAAAGGATATTACCATTAAGAACCAGGTTTTTAAAACCTGATATTTTCGTTGTAATTTTTAATCGAATGTCACATCTTAATCTTCCTTAGATCACATTGGGGTCCTCTCCCATTTCTGAGAAGAAACTTCAACTTGAGTGAGAGTTATTGAAAGAAATCAAAAGATGTTCTTAATAAATTATTTAGAGAATTCAGATGTGGCAACACCGAATCATCGAGTCGCGTTGTAGTAGTCTCCGAGCGGCCGATACCGATCTGCGACCAACGGCGGCAGAGGGAAGGACAATCTAGTTGTCTCAACTCTCGAAATAAACGAGTAGCGACGTTGTCGGATCTATCGCGGCCTGCTCGATCGACTGATTTTCGAGGTCGGCCTTTGGCGAAACGCGTGCCGCTCTTCAAGGACCGGGGACGGCACTAATTTCGCCATCGATTCGCGTGCATCTTTCTCTAACCATGTGCTAGGAACTTCTCCCCACGTGTGCCGTAATAACTCGATGGGGACTTGATGTGGGAGATAAGTACGTGTCCCAAGAGGCACTTGCTCCTTTTTAGTTGCGTTCTCGTTTGAGGATTTTTCAATTTCTGGGAATTTGTCTTTTCGGGGTTACACCCGTTGGAATGGGGAATGGGTAGGATTGACTATGGGCGCTTTATTCTCATTTCTAAATACGGGGTTTTTCCCGTATTTTCCGGGAAAGTACGCCACTGACTTTTTTGTTGTTTTTAATTTCTTAAAGGTAAATCAACTAAAAATACAACTTTCTCGTCGCTTGTGTTCTTTATATCAAGCTTCGTTTTCGAAAAGAGAAAATCACTTTTAAAAACTATTCATGGATAACAAAATAAAAACCGAAATTAAATAATAAACAATTTTGAACTCAAATTAAATGAGCAAATTATCTACTTTCTGATTGAACACACAATTGCAATCAATTCGTCATATTAGTGTGAAGTTAGCCACAGTTTCCTGGCCACACTTTCTGACGTAGGGAAAATTATATGCGGGATAGAGGAGCAAACGCGGGCGGTGTTGTCAGATTTTCTACTTTTTCTGTTTCTGATGATTGAAATTCTTCCAGTGAATAAACTTAACCTACAAGAAGACCATGTTTCTGATACAATACTCAACATAAAGTCTTACAAATCCGTGAGGAGACTATAGATAATCTACGCAAATGATTTCAAATGTCAGAAATTCTCATATTTCTCAAAAAGGAAGACATACAAATAATTATATAATATAATTACGGTCAAAACAATGTGTGACCGTAATAGACGAGGAAAAAATTATTTCTCAATAAGACCATCAGTAAAGTAACAGAAATATTTCGAGTGCCAAAAATTTTTGTATTTCGCAAAACTGAAGACATATAGTTGAAATTATATACAGGGTCAAAACAATTTGTTTGGCCGTAATAGGCGAGGAAAAAAATAATTTCTGACAAGACTTCAACTAATGTACCCGAAATATTCCGTGTGCCAAAAATTATTGAGCTCCATGGGGAAGGAAACATATGGAATGTTATATATACAGAGTCAAATCAATTTGTTTGGCCGTAATAGGCGAGGAAAAAAATAAT